CTTTCTGCCCAAATCCCAAGTTTTTAGTAATCTATGTTCGCTTTCTGGTTTCTTTACAAATTTAAGATAAGCATCTGCATAATAATTGATTCCCAAATTGAGAAACTGAGGCCTCTGTGCAAGAGAAGTGGGGAGCTGGTTGAGAGGATTCAGGCTGCTCGCAAAGTACATTTATCTAAAACACCCCTTCTGCCTTAAGCTACAATGCAAATTCAAGCCAAAATAGGTCTCTACAGAGTAAAGATTTTGCCCATAACGTCTTGTGTGTTAACCTAATACAAAAATAATTGAATTAGCTTGAAAATGTCTGGAGCAGGAGGGTGTTTTAGAGGCAGTGAGAATCCGTAGATATAGAAAAGACAGTAACTTCACATTTGGTAATGTCACTTAATGAACTAAAAGCGAATTAGGATTTTCTGTTTTGTGTACCCAAGCATAGGAAGCTTTTTTTTTGGCATCAATATTAGTACAGACCAGAACATTCATTCACATGTGGGTGGTGACTCTCCTTCTACTTTCCAATCTATTAAGAGGATACATTCAGGAGAATATGTACAAAAATCTATTCTCTCTCCCTAAAAGGACTTATTAAATACCTCCTATTTAAATACTTATTACATGTTGGATGTCAGAAGAAATACTAAAAATAGGACTAGAGTGTCAACAAGACAAAACAAAGGGAAGTAATACCAAAGTAAAAATAAGAAAAAAAAAGATGAACAGAAGATTTCAAAGGAGAGCTCTGCAAAGTATTATAATGGAATGTGCAGAAAGCTGGAGTTGGAGAATAAAAGGGAAGAACTCATTCGGCCTTTTTCAAACTGAAAGAACTGAAAAACACTTGCAATACTGAGAGATGCTATGGGCAAAATTCTGAATGATTCAAGAAGCATCAAAAGAGTAACTGCACCAAAAGTAATTGGCCAACACGGAAATATTTCAGTAAGTACCATAATAGCCAGCATCAATGGTGATAAAAAAGAAGCTATATCTGTGGACATGCATATCTCCCTTTCTACTCAAGATATTTCCCAGGAAACTCCATGATGGCCAGGTAAACACATCCACTTAAAGGCTGTATTCCAGACATGGTAGTATAGGTTCTCTTGGGACAACACAGTTTATATCCATGTTACTAACTCTGGGAAAAGAAATGAGAAAACAAGAACAAAACAATCTGGAAATGAATTTAAGGAAAGACACTAAGAATAGATGACTTGTGTAGAGAGAGCCTTGAAATTCTGAAGAAAATATTACTTGCAGTGTTCTTAAGGATTCTTCTCATTTCCTCTCCTACCTGTTTTGCTACTTTGTATTGTAAATATTTTTAAGTTACCTTAAAACATCTTTGAAACACAGTTGCCTATAAATAAACGAATAAATAAAGAAGGTAATTTATAGCTGAGCATTCCAAAGGCGGGAGTGATGTGGCCAAAGGGAAGGGCAAAAACTTATGATAAACACGACTTGAACTTGAAATAACAGGCTTGCAAATTAAATTTTAACTTCCAAGTGATTCTTTCACCCTCAACTACTCTACTGATGGCAAAGTAAATCTGGAGAAGGTGTCCCTTCAAAAAAAACAAAACAAAGCAAAAAAAAAAAAAAAAAAAGAAAGGATGAAAACCAACCAACCTCCCCCCCCTCCCCAAGTAAACAGGCAAGAATCAGGGGCTAGCCTCTAGTCCCTGAGGAGGCTCTGACCCTTGGGTCAGGGAGCTCAGGTGGCCTCGTGGTAAGGACCTGTCCTGCCAACCCAGAGGCATGAGGTTTGAATTCCTCAGGGGTTGGGAGGGAGAAAGATGAACAATCTCCGCCCACGTGTTTTACAGACTCTGAAGACCCCTAGACTCCTTGTCAACTCCGGGTTAGCCGACTAACTCTCTAGAGATGGCAGGACCTGGGCTCCTGTTTTATTGGATTGAGGCTGGCGAGGCAAGAGCTCTGCAAGGGGCGGGGCGCGGGGGGTGGGAGAGACCTTGCTCCCCCACTTCTACCCTTGTCTCCAGGGAGAGGCTTTATCCAGGATATTGGATTTTGGGAAATCGACAGCAAATTACATAGAAGTGTCAGCCAGTGTCCCTGGATGGGACTTTTTCTGACTGCCAGAATCACACCCCAGCCGATTTCCCTTGCTTGCTCTACTCTGGTGCTAAACTCTTCCTGACCTCCAATCCTTTCCTCTTCTTTTCCCACCATAAACTTCTCCCACCTCCTTTTGTTTCTCTTCCTGCACCTGGACTCTGCCTTCCTTACCCTTCAGACCCCAGTTACCCTGTTGCCTGCTCACTGAAACCCTGGAAACCTCTCGTTTTCCTTCCCACCGAGCGCAGACCCTAGGAGACCCCGGTCTAACTGGGGGCAGCAGGTGGATGGCGCCGAGGGGCTGCCGGCCAGGAGTGCATGGGCTCCGAGGCTGCGAGGGGAGCTGGCACGGCCGGGGGCGGCCGGGGCGGGGAGAGCAGGCAGCCCCTCCCGGCAGCGCGGCCCTAGGGGCGGTCCCCACCAAGGTCCCCGCCGCGCGCCGTCCCGCCCGCCGCTGGTGCTCCCTCATTCTGCACCATGTGCTGCCGGCTGCTGCTCCTGCTGTGCGCGCTGCTTGCCCGGACAGCCGCCGGGGGCTCAGGGCGGTCCTACCCGCACCGCAGCCTCTTGGACTCGGAGGGCAGGTACTGGCTTAGCTGGGGCCAGCGGGGCGGCCGGCTCACCTTCCGCCTGGAGGTGCGCACCGCCGGCTACGTGGGCTTTGGCTTCTCGCCCACCGGGGCCATGGCCGAGGCGGACATCGTCGTGGGTGGAGTGGCCCATGGGCGACCCTACCTCCAGGTAAGCGTGTCTCTCTTCCCAAGCCCATCTCGGGCTCGATGCCTCCCTTATGTCTTAATTCCTGGCCCAGGAGTCAGCTTGCCATTCCCTGCTGGAGGCTGGAGACCCTCCTGGCCCTGGGTCACGCATCGCATCCCTATATCCCCCTCTCTTTCTCACCTTCGCTGTCATCTGCTTCTACAGAGTAGAAGGCTCCTGTGACTGTGTTCTGAGAGTTGTCCTGGCGGAATCTGACTCCAAGCACTTCACCCTCTTTGAACACTTGCCCTGGCCTTAGAGCCCGCTTTACAAAACCCTCCAGGTACACCCCCTGCCCCACATCCTCCTTTATTCTGATGCAAAGATAGAGGGACCTCAGCTTTGGGGACCTAAAGGGACAGCTCTCACCACTGGGGCGCCACAGCACGTTTGTACTTTGCTCTCTAGCAGACTAGGAATGGAGATCAGAGAATTTCCCAAATTAAACCAGTTTTGGAGCCTGAGGGCGCTGGGCCAAGGCCGTTATTTTCATCATTGAGGTGAGTGGAGAGGGCCCCCCACGCAGAGAATGCTCAGGAACTTTGCTGTGCTGTAGGAAGTATGGAGACATCTCAGAATCCTACAGCTCCTAGACAAAACCCCCTACTGCGTGTGGCAGCATTTTGTACTTATTCTAAGTGAAAACAAAGTTAAGTTGACAGCTGCTGACTGAATCAAAGAGCCGGGGGTAGCGATATTGCCTCCTCAGTGATGTGGCTATGAATGAGAACAGGGCAGGATTGGTGAGATGCTGAGAATAATCAGGCACTTGGGCTTAATGGACATCAATCTTGGTGTGTTTTATCTTGACCAGCATTTGAACACTTCATTTAAGGTAACACACACACACACACACACAAAAAAAAAAAACCCAAAAAACCAACATTGTGGTGAATATACACTTTACGTTATTTAGCAAAATCATTCTCCAGTACCACACGGTGTGCTAAGTTTCTTGAGCCAAATGAAAACTAGTTGTTCTGGCATTTTGTTAAGTCTTGGCTAACACCCAAATCAGTATACCTGGTGGATTTGAGTGTGCAGTTCTCTCCCCTTCCTGTTTGAAGTTCTACTTCTATGAATTTCTGATGTGGGCTTGCCATGAAGTTTGAACTCTGAATATGACACCAGCCTACAAACTTGTGCTGAAAGTAGAGAAAACAGCAGCGATAAGTAGTTCAGAATCATACCATTGTCTATTCTTTCAGAAATGAATCCTTTCCTCCAAAAGTAAATACAACTCCAATAAAAGTTTTATGAGGATTGCACTCTGCTGAACTATTTATGAATGGAAAAATTTCCTCCTGATGCAAAAGCTTATATTCAATTTGTGAACCAAGGATCTGAACCCCCTAGTTGGGTGCCTCTCTGATCGAATAACTTAGTCTTCCGTGGTATGATGTAGGCAAGATTTACTTATTTGAGCCAAGTTTCTTTTCTCTTCTTTTCAGAGGAAACTGTAGTGAAGCCCTTCCATTATTCTTGACTAATTTGTAGAAGAGTATGAGAGAGCTTAATACAGGAATTTCATAAAGTAGGGTACGTTTGAAAAAATGAACTTTAAACTCTACAGTCACAAAGAGTCCACTCAATCTGATATCAAATTAAAGGCCAAGAGTAGAAACATGTTGCCGCAAGCCTCAGTTAATCGACTACAAACATAGCAAAGCAAAAGAAAAGAAAAAAGAAACAAAGAAAACCTCCTTCCAATTCTGACTCAAATCACCCACGGAGAATTGAGCAGATTGGCCCCTTGTGGTATCCAAGGCTGTTAATCCTTGGAAGGAAAGGCCACACTACTCTTCTGCAAGTGGCTGCTGGGTCTGAAACCTTAACCATATACACAGGCTTTGTTAAATGAGCAACTATACTAATGCTGTTTAAGAGTTAATTAATGAGGATTATGAATCTCAGACACATAAAAATACATAACAGTTTTATAAAATGTAATGTATGGGAATGATTGTATGAAATGTTGTGAGTAGAGGAATGTGTGAAACACATTGTATGTAAATGAGAGACAATGTATACTAATTTTGTATGCAAGCAAATATAAAATAAAAAAATAATTTTTTTAAAAAGAATTAAGCGCTCTTTAGATTAGTATTGGAGCAAAGAACTTTTCTTTACATAATTAATGAAGACATATGACCATGACATACATCTTTAAAAATGGACACTTCCCCCCCTCCATTTAATGTGTGAGAATTTCCCCCACCATTTTAATTTCTAAGGAAATAAAACCCTTATTTCCATAACTAAAGGATAACAATTTTCTTAATAAAATTTTTGTCAGTTCATTCCCTTAAGTAGTCTACTCATTTTTTATCTATATACTATATAATGCAATCACTACAGTCAGTTAAGTGGAAAGATAATTTATGAAAAATCTCTTTAATAAGATGAAAGACTGTAAGGGGGGAAAAAACACATTAGTTCCAGCTGGATTGACTCAGTGATTTCATTTTTTAACACTTGCAATGAAATCTTCCCTCTAGAAACTTTATTTTAGATTTTTCAAATACAGGTCTCATGAGGTATGCTCAGTAAATACGTCAAGCAGTAAACAAAGTCCTTAAACATAGTGTATGTGATTCTACTGGATTTTAAGTAGTTTGTACTCAGAACAAACTACACAGAATGATGAAATATGAAGAACTGACTCTTATTCTAACTTGACATCCCTGTTGCTTCATCTTGTGGTTTTCCCCATGAGTTTTGTCTAATTCTTATTTTATATCAGACCTTATCCTTAGATATTTTTTATCCTGTTATCATTATGGCTTTTATATTTTTGCTTACACTGTATTCAATAGGGTGCTAATTCTTAGAAAACATATACGAGACCATCCCAACCAACTAGGTGGAGAACTGTTGACTGAATATATGCCACAAACCCAAATGCACGTATAAATCAAGCAGGAAGTGCAGAGGAGAGATGGCCTTGGGTTTGAGGAGAGCAGGAAGGCTGCCATTCAGCAGCATAATGAAGGGGAATGCGGAAATGAGCGCTAAGTGAGACAGTAGTTACTGTTGTGGAAAGGCAAACCCTGTAATGCTAAGTCTTACTGTTTTTGAGAGAGAAAGACAGAAATTTAGAAAATCTGATTACTAAAGAAAACCTGATTACTGAATACTGACAACATTATGTAGTTCTCTCTC